CCCGTATTTTCCAGCTACTGATCCTTCTTCCCTGTTCCCAACTTTTGCATTCCAGTCGCCCATTATTATCAATGCATCTTGATTGCATGTTTGATCAACTTCTGACTGCAAAAGTTGATAGAAATCTTCTATTTCCTCCTCTTTGGCTCTAGTTGTTGGTGTACATATTTGAATTATAGTGGTATTCACTGGACTTCCTTGTATGTGTATGGATATTATCCTGTTGCTCACCACATTTTATTTCAGGATGGATCTAGAAATGACTTTTTTAATTATGAAACCAACCCCATTTTTCCTCACCTTTTCATCCCCTGCATAGTAAATCATATAATCGTCTGATTCAAAATGTCCCATGCCAAGCCATCTCATTTCACCAATACCTAGTATGTCAATATTTATGTGTTCCATTTTTTCTTATGCAGATTATGTAATACAATGCCTAATATATAATAAAGGGAGCTCTGGTAGCCTAGTTTTAAGAAGCTGCATTGCAATCCCAAAGGCATTAAGTTCGAATCCACCAGGTGGTCCACAAAAGAGAGATGAACAATCTCCTCCTGTGCGATTATTGACTCTGAACATCCACTGGAAGGTCAGCTATGAGTGGATTGGTTCTGATTCAATGGCATACAATTACAACAACAACACAATATGTAAAAACTAATAGAGAAGAAAAGACTGAGATGGATGTCAGAAGAAACTGAATATTGCAGTAGAACAATAAGAAGCAAAAGCGAAAGGAAGAAATCAGAAAGTTAAGGAACTGAACAAAAGATTTCAAAGGGCAACTTGGGAAGACAAAGCAAAATATTATAATGAAATAAGCAAAGAGCTGAAGTTAAGAAATCAAAAGGGATGAACTCACAGCAATTTTTTTTATTTTAATGAGTTTACAGAAATTTTGGATTTCCATTCATTCATTGTTGCATAGTTTCCTCCCTGCCCACCCCTCACCCTAGTTTGCTTTTCTCTTTGAAAAGTAAAAAAAAAATATTTCATTGTTATACAATACCTCCTGCCCCCCAGTCCAATCCACTATGCAGCTTTAATTCTGGACTCTTGTCATGACAATACCTAAGTATATATTCCTCCCAAACAGTTCTCTCCCTCATCTATTTCAATGCAGTATACACTATTTATCCCCTCTTAGTTTTCCCCCAACCCCTATGTCAGTCCCACTTTACAACAGTGGCACTATGCAGTATTTGTCCTTTTGTGACTGAGATATGTCACTCAGCATAATGTCCTCCAGGGTCACCCATTTTGTATAATATTTCATGAGTTCCTTGTTTTTCAATGCAGCATAGTATTTCTTAAGCTGAAGGAACTGAAGAACAAATTCAAGCCTCCAGTTTTGTTACTTAAAGATGCTATGAGCAGAATATTAAATTATCCACAATGCACCAAAAGAAGATGGAAGTAGTACAAAGAATCACTATACCAAAAAGAAATGGCTAACACAGAAGAATTTAATGAAACAGCATATGATTAAAAAGCAATGATGATGAAGGAGGAAATTCAAGCAACTTTCATGGAATTGGCAAAAAAATAAGGCCCCAGGAATTGATGGAA